ACCGCTAGTCAGCATTCATTTTGGGACCCACTGTAAGTGACCCAGTATGCATCTCAGCCAGGGTTGGAGGGTGCATGTGTGCATGTGTGTGTGTGTGTGTGCGCACGCGTGCATGTGCACATGTGTATGTAGTAGGGTGTTCTACAAGCTCCAAAAGAGAGTCTTGGAGCAAAGCTGGAGACCAAAAAATCGACTAAGCCTTAGGAAACTCAAGTGCTCCAACCAGAAAAGCCCAGGGACTCCATCCACCCTTAAGCCTGTCTGCAGACGCCTCCCTCTCTCCATCCCCTGTCAAGAAGCTGTGTGAAGCTTCGGAGAAGAAGCCTCAGGGAGGTTTGCCTTACCAGCCACAAGCCCAAAACTCAAGAGTGTGCACGTGTTGGCTCTAACTCCTGTTGGAAAAGTGAGCAGAATTCACGAGAAGGGTGGGGAGGACAAAATACTCTTAAAAGGTGTGATGTCCTCTTTATCAAACAGTAGTTTTCCATGGAACAATTCCTTGGTGCTCTGTGGCTTTGCAGTGACCCCATTGGGACAAAGAGGGGGCTTAAATATTTTCAAAACCCGTCTGTCTGTTGTCTGCCTGTCCTCCCTGGTTCTTGGAAAATTCTCGAGAGACAGGGCAATGGGAAAGGAGGCAAAGAACTTTCCACCAGCAGCCAACTGCTCAGAAGAGAGGAAGCCTCCAAGAATGTCAGCTGCTAATTGGATAATGACTCCGAGAAGACAAATCATGAGGGTTTTTTTTTTTTTAAACTGCACCAATGTGTGACCTGAGCCCAGCTTTGCTCACCCGGGACCTCGAGCTGGATCTGGTTTGCACCCACGTTTGTTTACTTTGCACCATTCTCTGCATTTAGAATTACTTGTAGGCATTTGACATGGAGGGCTTTTACACAAATGTCCAGAATTTAGACTTCTCTGAAAAAAGAAACAGAGGAAATACAGCCACAAGGCAGGCAGGGTTCACCACCGGGCGTCCGTCTGCCAGGCTCTTGGAGGCCCGTGGATTTCCCATGCTGATCAGGGTGTCCGTGCTTCGTTCTTAAGTGATGTGGTGTGCACACCCTTCACTGCCTGCAATGCGTTTTCATAGCTGACTTTCAAGAGTGGATCGATCCACAGTTGGCCTGTCAGTGAGTGTGCTTTCTGGTGAGCTCTTGTGGTGACAGCTGCCGGGAATCTGTGGAGTGCTGGGTGGAGGACAGTGGGTCAGCACCTGTCCTTGTTGTTCTGCATTTGTCCATGGAAGTTTTGCTGTAGCTCTAGCTGCCCGGGTTCTCAGTCTGTTCAGTGAAATGTCTGCTTTGGCTTCAAATGCTCTTCTGACGTCACTGGTGGGACCTGGCTGTCTCTGTGAGTGTCCTGGCTTTGTCCTGGCTTGCAACACCTTCTTAGGTGTGGAGCTGCAGCAGCTCAGGGGACCGTGTGCAACCTGGACGCAGCAGAGGCTGAGGGTGCGGTCTCCCTCAGGGACTTCTTGAAATGAGGTCACCTTTCCCAGAAGACAGACTGAGCCTCCTTCTCCCTGCCTGCCTTTGTATCTGTGGTTAGCCAAAAATGGGATGGAGCCCTCTGTGATTACTGGGTGACAAATGACCACAGACATCACCGAGTAAAGTGCTGACTGACTGCTTTGGCATGGCCTCTGGGGACCAAGAGTCCAGACTCCTGGTCCTCTCCTCTCTGCTCAGGGCGTTACACCTCCCACGCTTTCATCCAGGGTGCCGGCCACGTCCTCTCTGAAGGCTGAGCCCTATGCTGCTGGTGGAGTTTGCTTTGTGAGCCATCAGTTCTTGATGGCTGTTGGAGGGGCACTCTCAGCTCTGAAAGGTGCCAGTTTCTCCCACCTGACCATAAGTCAGAAAGATGGAATCCCTCCTGTACAGTGTGACCCAGGGCCACACAGCCCCTGACCTTTGCCATCCTCTGCTGGTTGGAAGCACATCTCAGGTCCAATCCATCCTCAAGCCACGGCGTGGGTCAGCAGGATCGCCCCAGGGTGTGTTGACCTCTGCACCAAGGTTGGCTTGGATAGATCAAGCCTGACCCTTGGAGCTGGGGGTCAGGCTTGTGACACATTCTACCTCTGCATTACAGAGGGTAGAATGTGACACAAGCTCAGTGGGTTTTATCTATGAGGAAGGAGAAGCTCAATGTACAGCAGGAGGATGCAATCCTTGCATTTCACAAGTTAGTGCCTTAGAACTGTGCCTACTGAATTCGCTCACAGTCCTGTGCATGGCGGCTGCAGCTGGGCTCCGTGGGTGGTGCTTCTGCTGTTTGGGCCACTCATCCAGTGACAGTCCTCCAGCAGGTTGATTGGAGCTGAATTGTCCAGGATAGCCTCCTCACATGTTTGGTCCTAGGTGCTTATGGTGGCTGAACCCCTCCATCCACTGTGCCCTTCAGGTATCCAGTCCTTGGTGTTGGTGATGGAAGCCAAGCCTTTCTGTCTGTGGGTTTTCTCATCCTCAGGGAGGTGGACTCAGGCTTCTTTCTGAAAGAGCCAGAAGGACAAAAGTAGAAGCTTTAAGATTTTTCAAAACTTTGCTTGGAAGTTAAAGAACGTTACTTTTCGAGCCATGCCCCCAGCCCTTTTTGCTTTAGTTATTTTTCAGGTAGGATCTGGCCTGGCACCCTGATCCTCCCCATCTCTGCCTCCAGAGTAGCTGGGATTACAGACATGAGTCACCTCACCCAACCCACACTACATTGCTTCTGACACATTCTGTTGATGTAAGCAAGTTGCCTGTATTCACGGGGCGTGGTACAGACTCTCCATTCCAACAAGAGTGGCAGAGTCGTCCTGGAAGGAGGCGCACATGCAGGGCTGGATGCTGCTTTAGCCAGGTAGAAAATCATCCCGGAGCACAGGGAGGGACACCCTGATTCTACAGGGATTTTTCTTTTTCTCTTCTGGGTGTATTTCCTCTCCTTTCTCCACCCTTCACCCACCATTTTATTATACCATTTACAAGGTCCTACCCTTAATCCAGGCCTCTCTTGCTTTTTATAAGTCTTCTTTTCTTCCAACTTGCTTGCAGAGAGAGAGAGAGAGAGAGAAAGAGGGAGCATTTTATCATAACCTATTCCTAGAAACTCTTTTGCTCAGAATTTTGCTGTAAATGACCTTACATTCTGCAGGAATACTGAGCAGGGGGTTGGGTTTCAGCCAAAGTCCCCACGTCAGATAAATCAAAGATATGACCAGCATCATAAAATGATATACCAAAGCTATAAGCCTCTCAAATAATTTTAAAATGAATGCCGCTCTGCCACGAGGTGGGAATAAATATGTTATGTTTTTATTATGAAAAGAACACCAATTTACCATAAAGCACATACACAATGCATAAAAACATAATCCTTCTGTCATAAATGTTGCTGTTTGTATTGCTCACTATAAAAGGCATTCCACGTTTAATTAACAGTAATTTTGAGACTATGTGGACATTCCTTTTAAACAGCGAAGCATTGCATATTAACCTCAGATGTTTTGCATCACTGGGGTTTCCATGGGCTTGGGGGGTAATGAAGGCGACCATGGCTAACTATGAGTGAGGCTCTGCCCTAAATTCCTAACTGTGTTACCACATTTAACCCTCCCGTGGCCCTGGCATTGCCCTAACTTACAGGCAAGGACCTGAGATACAGAGGGGTCGATGTGCCCAGGGTGTCCCACAAAGGGAGCCTGAGGGCTTCAGCCCAGGCCTCAGACTCGAGGCTCTGCTCGCCTGTTATACACAAGCATAATAGGTACGCATGTCCCCTCCCCTCCACGAGCACTCTTTAACACAGGAATAACGCTAAGCTTTCTAATTATGAAGGGCTTTGAAATTAAACACTGGTCAGCAGGAGCCCGCTCATTACTGCACCACGTAATGTGTGTGGACATGAATAATTAAGGAGTATGAGCAGAAGTAGGTCTGGAGCCAAAGATCTGCTGTGAGGACTGGCAAGGGTCTTTCCAGTCCTTTATCCTTTCTTCACACGGGCAGCTCCAGGGCCCTAGGGCTAGGTCCATCCATCCAGCCCTTTTGCCCTGCACTGGCGAGAAATGTAGGCTCAGAGAGGTTGGCTAGCACGCCCAATGCCACACAGCTAAGCGAAGTCCTGAAGGAGGATTTGACTCAGATCTGAGCAGAAACCAAGCTTCCCATTACCCAAACATGGCTCTGTATCCAGGGAAGACAGTGAGACCAACACAGCGATGGGGCAGGGGTGGTGTGGCACTGCACATAGCGTGTGAGGCTAGATTCAGGAGTAAGATGGTGTTTGCATTTCAGGCTGTGGTCAAAAAAGAGGGAAGCAATCCTTACTTTCAAATCATTGGAAAGAAATGGAACAGGTCTACTTGGGCATGGTGTCTTATACCTGTAATCCCAGTTACTTGGGAGGTGGAGACTGGGAGGCTCATAATTCAAGGTGAGTTCAGGGAAAGAGTTAGTGAGACCCTTGTTGATCAATGAGCCTGGCGTGGTGATGCCACCTGTGATCCCAGCTACACAAGAGGCAGAGTAGGAGGATCTCAGTCAAGGACAGACTAGGCAAAAATGCGAGACCCTGTCTGAGAAGATAACTGAAACAAAAAGGGTTGGGGGAGTGACTCACATGGTGGAGCGCCTGCCCAGCAAGCTTGAGGTCCTGAGTTTCAATGCCAGAATTGCCAAAGAAGAAAGGAAAGAAGCAGGTTTATTGGTCTGGGGAGGAAAGGGGAGGGAAACACATGGATGGTTCTCATATTTTCTGTGAATGTTCACCCGTCCTGTGTGCATGTCTGTGTGTGCACACAGGTGTGTGCGTGTGCACGTGTGTGTGTAGATGGATATGTATGCACGTGTGGATGGGTGCATGTGTGTATTTGTGCTCTATGTATATGTACAATCATTTCCTAATCGCTGCGGGAGGCCAGCAGAGGGTCAAGCAGGAGCTAACGTGGACACGATCCCCGCCACCAATTGCTTATGTCAGTTTCTCCCCCACTTCCTTTTCCACAGGAGTTTGTCCAGCTGGCAAAGAGGCTGATGAGCGACCCTGCACTGGAAAGAGAAATCGTGGCCAACGGAAGGGAATATGTGAGGAGGCGCCACTCGTGGCAGGTGGAGAGAGACACCTACCAGAGCCTCGCGAGGAAGCTGGCGCCAGGCTCGGAGGAGTAAGGGAGCCCTGTGCTCACGGCATGCTGTTCCACCCGCCATAGGCCCAGCCCGACTGACCCCCAGAGATGGGGCTGGTCCGGGACCATTTGCACCATTCAGTCCTCAGTGACCCCGTGCCCATCCCCGCCGCTCCTGGCTCCTGTGCTGAGATGGCATCCCAGAGGTGTTAACGGCTCAGTCCTGATGATGGCTGCCAGCTCAAAAAGCAGAAACAAAAATCAGGATTGTCAACAGAGTGGAGTTGGTAGTATTTTTATGTGACCTTGGGCCCCTACCTTCAGCATATCCTGGGGCCCTGAAAACATGAGCGGGGCACGGGTCACAGCGTCTGCCCCTCTAAGCAGCGGAGGTGCTGAGAGTGAGGTCACAGCCAGCATGTCCTCCTCCCCATGGTGCACCTGAAAGACAGTGTGCTTTCTAGACGAGAGGCCAGGCCGCCCCAAAGGCCCCATCCACCTTTCACAGCACATTCCACGTAGCCTGGAAAATAATTTGGTGACCTTCACGTGGAGGCTGGGGTGTCAGGTTCAGTGTGGACACCCTCAGGGAGCCAATGATGAAATGTCACATGGCAGAACCCCGAACAAGGAGTGTCAGATACTGCAAAAGACACAGCCAGACCAGCCCAGTGGTCATGGTCACGGTGACCACCCCACACCAGCACATCCTCCCTAAAAGCAGCCTCTACTGACCAATGGAAGTCGTATTTGCCGTATTTGCTGAAATCGTTGCATTCCGACAGACATTCCCTCCAGTAAGCGGGGAGAGAAATGTCTGCCGCCTCTCGTGAGTGGGAAAGCCTGTGCCTTGGACTTGGGGCGGGAGAGAGTGTTCCTCCCCAGGAAAGCTTGCTAAGGAGTTCCTTCAGGCTCTGGAGGGGATCGGGGAGGCGTTGGGGCCAACTTTGAGGACATATCTTGGGCTTTTTGCTTTCCAACCATCATGTTCTTAAAAACATAGCAAAAGCAGCGTATTTCAAGAGGAGCTTCTGATGCCTGCGGTATGAGAGCAGCAGCTTAATTCCATTCTGTGTAATTTGATATTCCGTCCTGAACCTGAGTCATAGCCCAGGGTAATTTCCAGGAAGGCAGGCAGTTGAGGCCTTGGTCCCCAAGGTCCCGAATGCTGCTAGGCTGTCCAGCCCTTCTCTCCTTGGGTGCCAAGGTCAGACTTCTGTGTCTGCAGAGAGGAAGGGGGGAGCATAGCCTGAGCCCCCCAATGCCCAGCTCCTCGCCAGGTGACATGGCCGATGCCTGACCTCTGCCTTGCCAAGGTCACTAAGCCACATCTGTGTAAACCATGCACACGTGCCTAATGTGCTTTGGGACTGGGCAGTTTTTTAAGTTAATTAAGTTTGTCACCATCAGTCACACAACAGTAGCCATGATTCATTCATCCCAGGAACAGCCCTCAGCCCGGAATGGGACCGTTCTCTGCAGCTCACGTAGAACCCTGGTACCCAAGTGCCCAGTTAGAGGGTTTAAAATGCAACTGTGCTTTTATGCCAGTGTCTCAGCTCTCTTTCCACCACTGTAACAAATACCCTGGCTAGTGAACTTATAAAGAGGAAAGGTTTGTTTTGGCTCACAGGTTTGGAGACTCCAGTCCATGACTGGACAGACTCATTGCTTTTAGGCCTCTATGGTGAGGCAGACAGCACATCTTGAGGGCGCGCGTGACAGAGCAAAGTGGCTCCCCTGTCAGGCAGGATGCGGGAAAGGGAAAGGAAGGGTCAGGTCCCCTGATCCCCTTCAAAGCCACACCCCCCAATGACCTAAGGACCTCTCGCCAGATCCCACTTTTTAAAGGTTCCACCACCTTGAGGACCAAGCGTTTAACGAACAGGCCTTTAGGGACCGTTAAGATCTAAGAAACAGCACAGAATGCAGTTGTAAAAGTGGCACTTTCCCCTCAGCGTCCTGAACTATTCAGGTTTAGACTCTTTGTTTAAACATCTTGTGTGGAGTGAGAGTTTAGCCTGCTGCTTACCAGTCTCACTGACTCAGTGAGCAAACTCCAGATAAAACGCTAACGTTAGCTGGGTGCTGGTGGATTAAGTCTGTAATCCTGTTTACTTAGGAGGCTGAGATCAGGAGGATGGAGGTTCGAGGCTAACTGGACAAACAGTTCTTGAGACCCCCCCATCTCCAAATAACCCGAGCAAAATGGACTGGAGGTGTGGCTCAAGCAGTAGGGCACCTGCTTTACAAGTGTGAAGCCCGAGTTCAAATCCCGTCCCAACTTCCAAAACACACACACACACACAACACACACACACACACACACACACACACAAACCGACACTGTCACCTGCAAGGTGACATTGGGGGGAATACTTGTGCTGTTAACATCAACAAACCTGTAACAACTAGCTAACAACCCAGTAGCTACATAAGGAGCCCATGCTCTCGGCTCCTTTGACCTCCTTCTCCAAGCCTTTCCCCGATGCTCGGTGACAGAGGGAGACACAGGACATTGCCATGTGATGGTTCACTGTGTGCCTTGGTTCAAGAGGCAGACCCTGGAGGCCATCCTTGGAAGAGGGATTGTGAGGTGGACCCCCACCCCTCAGATCTGAAGGAGTTACAGTGGGGCTGTGTGGGAGACTGGTCACTGTGCACGTCAGGAAGGAGTTTGGCAAATGTTTGAAGTCTCAGCAGGTGTTTGGGCTTCAAGCATCCATCGTCCTCCTGTGCTGGCTGTGGCACCCATGCTTTGTGTCACCTTTTCCCTTCAGGGCTCCTGGTTGTTGAACTTGCCTCCCCTGTCATTTGTCTGCAGCTCCCTGTGAGATGGGGACTGTCCCGGGGCTGTTTTGTGCTGCTGTGGTGGACACCGCCAGCTAGCTAATGTCTGTGAAGAGAAATGGATTGGCTCCCAGGTGTGATGGTTGCAAGTCCAAGGCTGAGGGGCTGCATCTGGTGAGGACCTTCTTCTTCTTCTTCTTCTTTTTTTTTTTTTTTGCAGTACTGGGGCTTGAACTCAAGGCTTACACCCCAAGCCACTCCACCAGCCCTTTTTTATTTTGTGAAGGATTTTTCAAGCTAGGATCTCACAAACTATTTGCCTGGGCTGGCTTTGAACCACGATCCTCCTGATCTCTGCTTCCTGAGTCACTAGGATTACAGGCGTGAGCCAGTGGCACCTGACCTTCTTAATACCTCATGTCTTGGTAGAAATGCAAAGACGAGAGAGACAGAGAGAGAGATTACCCAAGAGGGGACAGAGCTTGTCCTTCTGGAAGAAACCCACTCCTGATAACAACCAATTCATGAGGACCGTGGCCCCACCTCCCCACACTTCTGCATTGGGGATCAAATTTCCAACACTCAAACTTTGGGGCAAAGGCAAACCACAGCAGAGAGCTGACTGTCATCCATGTTTTCAGTGAGCAACAGTTGTCTCCTCCCTCCCGTCCCTGTCTGCCTCCCTTTTTTTCTCCCTTCATTCCATCCTCCACCCTCCTGTCACTTCTTAGATCCTCATGTTCTTTATAGGGGCTGAAGTGAGATGGGAATGGCCCATGGGAGGACCTCCCCACCCGACGCCAGCCTTTCAGAAGAGCCTCTGAACGCAGCAGTTTCATGAAATCAGCATCTCAGGCCAAATGCCTGACACCCAGGGGAGATCCAGGCTTGGGGTTCCCCAACAATCCTATGTGCAACCATCCATTTGAACAGGGGCCAGGATTTCACCGAGAACAGGGATGCTGCTTTGTAACTTTGTACTGAGAGGTGAATCCCCGAATTGAGAAATCAGGTTACTTCCGTCTTACGTTTAGCAAAATTTATCTGATGTAGCAATAGTTGAAATCATGAGTATAGGACCAAGAAATACTTCACACAAGCAAGTGAACAAGAGATAATGCAGCAGGACCCCCAGGGTTGCTTCTGCCCAGAGCACCTCTCCTCCTTGGGCACCTGACCTGGTCCTTGCCAGCCTGACCTACTGCTGCCTTCCTTCCCTGGTGTGCTGGGTTCAGTCTGCAGGGCCCAGCAGACCTGAGGTTCAAGTTTATTCTCTCTTTCATCAATGTCAGCACGTCCTCTGCCCCCCACCCCCCTTTTTGCAACATTTGCTCTTGAACTTTTCAGTGAATGTATATCCTGTTAGCATTTTATGTTTTCAAAGTTTCAAACAGTCATCAAAGGAGCCAGTGTGACCCTGGTGTGGAGTGGGAGGGCTCAGGCAGAATTGTGTTAGATTACCGTAGATAGAAAAACCCAAAGTAAACAGTGGCTTAAGCAAGAGAAAAAGACATTTTTTTCCCCCTGCCAGGTGATGGTATTTCTAAGGGCCAGGGACCCACTTCCTTCCCTTCTGCTCTTCCTCTATTCTTAGCAGGTGGCCATCTCTTGCTCATGGCGTAATGTGGCTGCATGAGCTCCACTGTCGTGCCTCAATTCCAGACGGGAAGATGGAAGGCAGGAACAAAGATGTCTCTCCCCCTTTTCAGGACAGTTCTCACTTTTGGTTCCATCCCATGGCCACACCTAGCTGTAAGAGAAGTGGGGACGTGTGAACTTTATTCCAAGCAGCTACAGGGCCTGTTGAAAATTGGATCTCTGAGGTGAGAAAGAAGGGGAGGACGCACATTTACAGGAAAGCTGGCGATGGTCACAGCCCTTGAGATAAACTGGCTTTAGATTATGGAGGTGGTCACGGGCGTCCTACTTTGTATGAATCACTGAGGACTTTTAATTCCAAGAAAGTGTTTTCACCAGGCTTTAATTTAGCCTCGAAGGCCATGGTGACATGCTCACCTTTTCTCCCCAGAATGCTCATTTGTAGTTTGAGTTCTTGGCCAGCCGGCTGTATCGATTAGTACCTCAAACCTTTTGGTCTCTAAATTAAAAACTCAGTGTAAGACAATACTTGAGTTTTCATTGCTTAAAATGTCCCTTTGGTCAGGAATATGGTCCTGGAAAGTGAAATGAAATGTACTGAATATATATATATATATATATATACATACATCAATGTCCTTCTGAATGTCCTCA